ATTTAGAAGTAGGCATATCATTGTTTTCAGAAGCCATGTATTTTTGCCTGGTATACGCAAGAAAATCTAGCAGAAAGAAAACTTCTAGAACTGTAAGGAAGTTAGTAATGTAGCCAGAGACAAGTAATTAAATAAATTCATATATTTTAGTTTCATTTTTTCATAACTGAATAGATTAAAAAATTTTAGAAATTATATTAAAGTATAATAATGAATGAATACATTTTGTTATTGAATGCAATGTAATGAAAACATAAGAGTAAATCTAAGTCAATAGAACAGTAAAGTTTCTTTCCAAATATTAATCTCCAAAATTTGAAGTTTTCCTTTCTTAACAAAGCCTAAGTTAATATAAATTGATAAAATATACTTCAGTGAATAAACACAACAGATATTTAAATATTCTCTAAAAAAATTCAAATCTTATCGCTGTATTTTTTTAAATCACCTGTAGATGCACACTGAGGTGAGCTGGGCTGGGGCTGAGAGTCTGCCTTTCTAGATTACTGGAAAGTAGGGGTGACAACTTCTCCAGGGTTGTCACATCAAGCCACTGCAGTGTCCCAGCCACAACTTTGAACAGAAAGAAACTAGGAAATAGGTGGAAAGGATAACCAAAAATAAACACAGACACCAAAGAAAGGAATACATGATGAAAATATTTAACACGCATAACTGAAATCCCAGAAGAAATGAGATAAGAAGTATCTGAAGAAAATGGATGACACTGTCCAAAGCTCACGAAAGATCAGGGCAGAGAAAAGAAGCCCAAAGAATTCCAAGCAGGATGAAGTATTTAGCATGAAGCTAAGGTAGAGAAGGGATCTTATCATAAATATCTGATAATGTGCTTTTGTCTAATGGAATAAAATTCACTGAAATCCAGGAAAAGAGTCACAAAGTTACTGAGAAAAGTGACTACCTTTTATGGCAAAGGAAGGATAACACAGAGGTAGAAGCACAAAGCCCAGTAATACACAAGCCCAGGGATTATGCAGAGTGTGTACCATGGTGGAGGAGGGACTGAGGGAATTACTCAGGCCATCTTAGAATTCCACTTTCCACAAGCTGTGTGGAGATTCCTCAGCCTACTAAAGATAGAGCTTCCATATGATCCAGCAATTCCACTCCTAGGTATTTACCCAAAGGACACAGAAACATCAATTCCAAAGAGCACCTGCACCCCTATGTTTACAGCAGCACTATTTACAATAGCTAAGCTTTGGAAACAACCCAAATGCCCAAAAATAGATGACTGGATCAAGAAGATGTGGTACATATACACCATGGAATATTACTCAGCATTCAAAAAAGATAAACACATGCAATTTGCAGCAACATGGATGGCGCTGGAAGGGATCATGCTCAGCGAAATAAGCCAGAAAGAAAAAGAAAAACACCGGATGGTCTCAATCATAGCAGGAATCTAGAAAACCAAAATAAGGGACCAGGAAAAAGAATAACTATGAGAAAGAAAAAATCAAAATCAACAAACAACTATGAACCAGAAACAATTCTATGGGGAACATAAAAATAAAAAAAAAAAAAAAAAGATTTCCACTTTCCACATAAGGTAATTTATCAAATATTTAAGGCAGACAATACAAATTCTATCCAAACTCTTCCAGAAAAATGTGGAGGGTAGAATTCTTCCCAACTCATTCTATGAAGCCAACATTACTCTGATACCCAAATTAAGAAGCCATTATAGGAAAACTAGAGATCAAACTCCTTCATAAACTAAGATGCAAAAATACAAACAGGAATGCTGACAGCTTGTAAACTGTAATACTAATATTGGAGTGTCAAAAATACCCACTTTATATAAGGCTGGATAGTTGTGATTTGCATGCAATGGAATATAATAGCAATGGAGCTGGATGAACCACAACTACTTCAAAAACAGACTAGTCTCACCATGATAATAATAACTAAAAAAAAAAAATCAAACATTCAAACACTGAATTCTTTAATTTATATTAACTTTAAAAATAGGTTATAAATTATTAGAATGAGGGAGAGTGATTTCTTTTGGAAATGGGAGAAAATATTTAGGGGAGGGGAATGTTTTTCTGCAGCAAATTAAATTTTTTTTATTAAATCATTTAAAAATGGATAAAGTGGATGATACACAGGTAAGTCACTGTCAGGGACTGGGGATGGAGGGACAGATGACTAGAAAAAGGTAAAAGGGAATTCGGGGGGCTGATGGAACTGTTCTCTATATTGATTGTGGTGGAAGTCAAGACTACTATATGCTTTTAACGAAACTTATGGAACGACACGTCAGAAAGAATGGATTTTGTTGTGAACTATACGTCACTGAAAATTACAATTGAGATATGAAAATTATGAATTAATCTTACTTTTCATGTAAGCAAAAAGTAAATAATCTGCAGTGTTGGAATGTGCTTTTTCTATTGATTAGATGAGAAATATAATGGTTTGAAAATGGATGGATCTTGAAGTGATTATACTCAGTGCAAAAAGTTAGAAAGTGAAAGCCAGTCGCTGGATGATTTCACTAATTTGTGGAATATAACTAAAGAACGTACTAGCAAAGCGCAGCAAAAATAATTCTTTCACTGTGAAAAATATACTGGTTACCATATGGAATGGGGCGGGGGAGAGGAAGAATAAGGGGTAGAAGAAGACTGGGCATTGCTAGAGCATCTTGGTGGAGAGTGAGCGAGGCATGTGCATATATGGAGGTGTGAAAATGTAACCCCTCAAAGTTACATGGATATGCAAACAATTGACAAGTTAATTAGAAAAAAAATTAATGGACTGTAAAATATTTACTGCAAAATATTTCCTTGTCTGTATACATTGAAACGTGTGAAATTAAAATGAAGAAAATTTGGGGAAAACAAATAATGTTCACTTTCATTGTGCTAAAAAAAAATAAATTAAAAATAAATAAACTTTTAGACTATGAGACCAATTCGTGACTACCAGAGGGAAGGGGAGAGAGAGTTTGGATAAAGAGGTACAAAGGGTCAATTATATGGTGATAGAGTTGGACTTTCAGTGATGAACTTAATATAATATATACTAAAACTAATAAAATGTTGTAACGCAATGTTATTTTAATTTTTTAACGTTTTTACTTTACATAATTTATTTTATTTTAGTGGTTAAACAAGGGGGATGGGAATTGTATGGGGACTAGAACCAAGATGAAAATGCATACATTGTGCAAAAATGAAAAATGATGTAAAAATATATATAAAATAAAATTTAAAAAATTAAAAAAATTGCAACTTCAATTTAAAAAGAGACAGAGACAGAGAGACAGCAGGAGGGAGAGAGGAAGACAGAAAGGCCATTATGTGAGGTGATGGATAGGGTAATTAGTTTGGTGATCACAAGGTATATCTGTAGCAAAACATTACATTGGAAACCTAAATGTATACAATTCCTATTTGTCAATGATACCTCAGTGAAGTTGGGGAGAAAGCATAAATAAAGAAATTAATTAAAAAATTTTTTTTACAATTAAATGTTGAAATAAGGAATCTATGTTATGTGCTTGATATTCACATATAGCATAACATAAAAACAGCCACAAGCTATGGGTAATTCTTTTTACCATTTATATATTCAAGAAAGCACTGAGGACAACTAAAGGTGAAACAATTATTTTTAGAAACAAAGTAGAAGCTTTGTTAATTTCAGTTAAGAAATTCTACTTCTTATTAAGTCTTATCTTTATTATATTTTCCATGTCAGCTGATGAATCTAGAAACAGATGGAGGCCTAGGAAGGAGCTAAACCTGGTTTGCTCAGACAGTAAAGGCTGAAAAGCCAGCTAAGTATGTTGACCCCAACATCTTGTTTGAAACTTGGTGGTCATTAATGAATCTTAAAATTTTTGTTCAGTGCTTTACAGCGTTTTTCTGTGACAGTGATTTAATTATGAGGATTTGTGATATACGAGTAAGATTATCTGTCATCATTGTATTCTTTAAAATCTTACTTTGATGAGATGTGAATTTGTTAATACTGGCGCTTTCAGACCCCACCCCTAAATCCGGTTCTAAGAAAAAACATATTAACCTGGTTGTAATTGAATGAAAATAAATAAAAATACTTGTTGAAGACTGTTAACTTCTAGGGTAATATAGGAGAGTTTGTCTTAACTGGCTATCAAACTTTACCATATTTACTTAAAATCATCTTACTCTACTGTATCTATGACTAAGTAAGGATGAAACTAAATTAAGATTCATTATGAAATCAATACACACTTGAAATAGGTGATGGATGGATAGCTGGATGGATGGATGGATGGATGGATGGATGGACGGGTGGACAGATGGATGGACAGCAAGTAGGAAAACCATCACTCCCGCCCCCAATAAGTAATAAAGAATGAAATGGTCTCTTAAAATGCAGGTTGTATATGAAGCCTCCTTTGACCAAAACTTTCAGTTAAACTGTTGCCTCATTTTGGGCCTCCCGGGTGACACAGGGGTTAAAGTCTTAGAGCTATCAAGCTAACGCCAGCCACTGGGGCCTGAGTTCAATCCCAGGTGGGGGAGCTAACACACATGGCACAGCAGACTTCTCCTATCTTGCCCGCTGCTCCCCTCAGCAGTGTATTTCAGTAGATCTGCCTGTTCTGCTCCCTACTGTGTCTCTGGTGAATCCTCTCACCTGCCCCCGGTCTCCAGCCCTCTGGCCTAGACCCCAGTTCTTGTATACATAAATAAAGAAAAATAAACCTTAAAAAAAGGTGTCATTTTGAAACAATGGATTTATCTTATAAACACAGGTAACTACTAGATGCCAATATCAACTGAACTTAACTTCAAAAGAAGGAAAAGGTGATATTTTAGCTGCCTAAGATCACTAATCTCATATAAAGTTTCCCCCTACTTCTGACGTCAACTCGGAAAATTCCCATATTTTCTAACAAAAGCGTTATTCCATGAGCACGCTGTGTGAAGGTGGGCAACGCAGCTGCCTTATGATACCTTACGAGACGTGTGCCTTACCACTTGAGCTGGAACTTGTTCCATTTTTGCAGCAGGAGTTCCTGGTCTTGGGTAAAACTGGTTAATAAAGAGGCTTGGAAATTTGTACTCTTCAACCAGTTTCACTGTTTCTTGAAAATCTTGATCTGTTTCTCCAGGAAAACCACAGATAATATCTGTAGCAATAGTTATTCCAGGAACTCTAGAAAATAAAACAAGACAAAAATGTAAAAAGCTGACTACCATCCATAATTATCCTATTTCCCAGACATTTAAAATTCCATTACTCTTTTTTAAATTAAATTATATTTTTAGGGAAGGGACATTTACAAAGAGCTTTAGAGAACCCTCAATAGCAAAAGTTTATGAAAATAGTAGCCCCCTGTCATCCTTAAGAGCTATCCATTTCATTTCTTTAGAAGTCTCTTTCTCCTTCTATATTTTAAAGTAGATGGTTATTCTGCTACATTGAGAGTAACTGAATTTTTAGGCACTATTTTCTAATTTTCTAAGTGATTATCAAAATTACATTTAAAATTCATTAAAAAACATGCTTTTACAGGAAGTTGTAGATAAAAGACAAATCTCTGACTTTTCTAGACTTATCAAGCATGTGGAATTAAAAAAAAGTCAATAACCTCAATTGACAAACTTTTACATTTGAATTATAACTATTTCTGAGCAAAACAATTTTACAACTAAAAATAAAAACAATGGATCACAGCAGACATAACTGGGAAGAGTTCATCTCTATTAGGAAAATCAAAGAAAAATCTTAGAAACTTCCTGTGCAACACTACATAAACAAAGACAATTGGTTATTGTCCTAGCTCTGAATGGGAGTGAAGCTGGCACTAGATTATGGGTTATTCCCTAAGGAAAGTACCTTACTGACTGCCACTCCCCAAACCCCTAACTCTCTTGACACATTGTGGCTGAGTTCAGTATTATGCAACACCTGATTACTTTGGCCTTAAGGTTCACAGTTAAAAAGACAGACCTTTACAGGAGACATAATAATGTTCAGAAACGGGGTGTTCAATGTTTGGGTATGTTTGAAAAATCTACATAAAAAGTTGACTGCTATCAGGGGAGGTTGGAAACAGGTCAGTATGATTTAGTAAAGAATCTAAGTTAGTCAACACTGAAAAGTAAAAGCAATTTAATTGATTTCCAAGTATTTAAGAAAATAAATTGCTTATAAAATGTTTTTAAATAAATTGCACTTTACTGGTTGATGAGGCTCATCTATACATTACTTTTATGTGTGCAAATGATGCTACTTAAGTTTTTAAAAATAATTAGACTTCTTAGAAGAAACAGCTAAAATTTCAATTTTACACTGTTAATATACCTAGTAAATAATTCTCTTCAGTATAAGAGAAAATCAAAGAGGTTTTGAAGTGAATCAAATTCTAAATTAACAGCATATGACTAAAGAAGCTCTAAGGAAATTATAAAGGGTGTAAGTCAGAATACTAATCCAAATATTTAAGATGCTAATTTTAAGCAAATGCTGTTTTTGAGAAGCTGTGAATTTTCAAATATACTAAAATTTTTTAAAATTATCATTTCTACATATTTATCAAAAAAGTAACGTCTATTACTACTAGGTATTATGAGTTTTGAAATTTCAAAAGCCTTCCATATTTATGTTTTCAACATTTTAGGAAATAATTCTGAAAGCAATATGAAAATGTTCAACTAATTTCAACAACAGAAAAATTCTAACCCATTATTTGATGACTTATACAAGTTATTTACTGCAAAATAGGTTCATGAAATAACTTGCGAATGGAATTTATGAGAAAGATTCCAATTACACATCTGTTTCAGCAGAAGCAGTGTTATACTATATTGAGTTATGAAAATCAGAAGCATGTGAAGAGAGTACAGTCAACTTGCAAGGCCTTGATAATGACTTGTGAAATCGCTACATATTTTATTTTAATATTTTTGTAAAGATTTATTTATTTATGTGTACAAGAGCTGGGGCACAGGCCAGAGATGCGGGGGGTGAGAGGATTCACCAGGGACAGAGTGGGGAACAGAACAGGCAGACTGAAATATACTCAGCGGGTGAGACAGGAGAGGTCTGCCTCACCATGTGGGTTGCTCCCTGGACAGCCAGGGATCAAACTCGTGCTGCAGAGGCTGCGATTACTTCATAGTACGGTGCTTAACCCCTAGAGCCAGCAGGGAGACCTGCTACATATTTTAAGACTTATTTTTCTTAAATAAAAATACACACATGCACACATACCATATTATATTTCAAATACCATTTAAAATTTTGTTCTTTAATTCACCTCAAGATTTTCATTTGCAATTTTGTATCTTACTAGGCAAAATATAAAAACAAATAATCCATTTTTACTTTTTATATCAATAAATTATGAACTTAAAAATCCACATGTGAAAAAGTAAGACTAACACACATGCTATTTATCTCAAAAGAAAAGAATAAAAATGATCAACCAAGGCATCAAACCCTTTAAAATTCTTGGGCATAAATAATATGTGATTAAAAGAAACATTCTTTAGTTCTGTGGAGATCAATCACTCAGTACTTTCAGGAAAAGTACACTGGAGGTAGGGAAGGAAAAAATCTCTCTAGCTGAAATCAAAATGAAAACATAATGTAAGTAAATATATGGGATGCAGCTCAACAGTGCTTAGAAGGAAATTTATGAACTTAAATATTTGTGTTACAAAGATGTAAACTCAATAAACTAAGTTTTTACTACGGGGTGGGGGGCAAATGAAACTCAAAGCAAGATACAGAAAGGAAATAATAGAGAAAAGAGAAGAAATCATGAAATAGGAAATTAAAAAAAGATTAAAAAATAAAATAAATAAAGATTTAAAAAATAAAAATATAAAGAGAAAAAAGATGAAAAAATCTAAGATATATTTATTTTTTAATAACTTATTTATATATATTTTACATCATTGTTCATTTTTCACAATGTTTGCTTTCTTTTCTCAGGCATAGTCCCCACATATTTCCACCACCAGTTCACTGTTGCACCATCACCATAGTTCCATGTGCTCTCTCGCCCTTATTTTAATCCCTTTCCCTCCCCTCCCCTGCAGAATATCTCTGATTTATAGTTGTCTGTGTATTTTTGTTTTGTTATTTTGTGTTTTGATCTCTTGTTTGGTTCCCCTATATTTCTATAAGTGAAACCATCTGATATTTTTCTTTTTCCTTCTGACTTATTTCACTGAGCAAAATCCCTTCTAGCTCCATCCATGTTGCTGCAAATGGCATGAGTTTCTCTTTTCTGATTGCTGAATAGTATTCCATTGTGTATATTTTGCACATCTTCTTGATCCAATCATCTATTTTTGGGCATTTGGGTTGAGTCCAAGTCTTGTCTATTATAAATAGTGTTGCAATAAACATAGGGGTGCAGGTATCATCTTGAATTAATGTTTTTGTGTCTTTTGGGTAGATGCCTAGGAGTGGAATTGCTGGGTCATATGGGAGCTCCATTTTTAGTAGTCTGAGGAACCTCCAGACTGCTCTCCATAGTGGTTAGACCAGTTTGCATTCTCACAAGCAGTGTAGGAGAATTCCTTTTTTACCACATCCTAGCCGACATTCATTGTTGCTAGGTTTTTTGATATGTGCCATTCTTAGTGGTGTAAGGTGGTACCTCATTGTGGTTTTGATTTGCATTTCCCTGATTATGAAGGATGTTGAATTTATTCATATGCCTGTTGGCCATTTGCATTTCCTCTTTGGAGAAGTGTCTTTTAAGTTCTGCCCATTTTTTGACAGGATTGTTTATTTTTTTTGAGTCATGTGAGTTCTTTATATATCTTTGTGATCAGTCCCTTAAAAGATGTACGTAGTGCAAATATTTTCGCCCAATAAGTAAGGTGTCTCTTTGTTTTGGTTTTTGTCTCTGTTGCTGTACAGAAGCTTTGTATTTATTTATTTTTAAAGATTTGTTTATTTTTATACAAGAACTGGGGTACAGGCCAGATGTGCAGGAGGGTGAGAGGATTCACCAGAGACAGAGCGAGGAATAGAACAGGCAGACTGACTGAAATACACTGCTGAGGGGAGCAGTGGGTGAGACAGGAGAGGTCCACCGCGCCATGTGGGTTGCTCCGCATCCGGCGGGGATTGAACCGGCACTGCAGAGGCTGTGGACAGCTTCACAGCGCTGTACTCAACCTGCTGCGCCACCGGGGAGGCCCCAGAAGCTTTTTAGTTTGATGTAATCCAGCTGTTTACCTTTTCGTTCACTTTCTTTGCTTTGGGGGATGGGTCTTTAGAGATGTTACTGAGATGTATGTCTTGTAGTGTTTTACTTATATTTTCTTCTATATATTTTGTGGTTTCAGGTCTTATGTTCTGTTCTAAAAGATACATTTATTTAAAAATTCATAAATTACTAAACTACTATCTACTCTTAAAAGAAAAAACACAAGAGACCAACTAGAGACCTGAACGAAGAAAATCAGCATACATGTATTAAAAGGATGCTAAGACATCTGATAACAAAAACAAAGCCAACAACCCAGTCAAAAAATGGGCAGGAAAGCTAAGAAGACACTTCTCCAAAATCAGAAATGCAAATGGCCAACAGGTATATGAAAAAACGTTCAACATCACTTATAATTAGGGAATTGCAAATCAAAACCACAATGAGATCCACCTTACATCAGTGAGAATGGCCCATATTAAAAAAAAAAAAAAAAACAAAAACGCACTAGAAATGACAAATGCAAACTGGCCCAGCCACTATGGAAAGCTGTGTGGAGTATCCTCAAAATAGTAAAAATGGATCCATCACATGAACCAGGTATTTCACTCCTCGGAATCTATTCAAAGGTCACAAAACCACTAATTTGAAAGGAAACCTGCGCTCCTATGTTTATTGCAGCATAGTTAGCTATTTACAATAGCAAAGATATGGAAACAACTTAAATGCCCCAAAACAGATGAATGGATCAGGAAGATGTGGTATATATATCCAGAATGGAAAACTATTCAGTGATCAAAAAAAGATAAAATGACATTTACAGCAACATGGATGGAACTAGAAGGGATTATGCTCAGTGAAACAAGTCAGAAGGAAAATGAAAGGTATTGGATGGGTTTCACTTATAGATGGAATACAGGGAAATGAAGAAAGGTTCAGGAAAAAGATGAAACTTTCAGGTAAACCACAGATCTGAGATATA